GTCGGCCACCACCCTCTCCACCACTTTGCTCATGAAAGAAACGTTGGCGATGGGCCTATAATTACCAATTTCGTCTGCTGCCAAACTAGGTTTCTTTCTTATGGGCCTAATGAGTGTTTCCTTGAGGACAGAAGGAAACCTGCCCTCAAGGAAAGACCCATTTATTATTACAGTGGCCCATTCTGTTGTTATCGGTATGTCGCTTCAGAGCTCGGAGCTCCTGGTAGTGATCTTTGTCTATGGGATGCACTTTCAACACACCAAATAAAAACTTCTTCCAAATTTTTTGCTTTTACTATTTAAGTTTTAGTGTTGATTCCCAACATTCTAATATTTGAACATTTTAATACAATGTTGATGGATTTACTTGATTTGGTTATATATATATTACTTTCATATATTTTAAGTATACTTTAATATGCTTTAAGCCCAAAACAGCCCTTCAATGTAGTTTGGCACAGGGGGACTACAGCCACATCTCAGCTGTTATTCTGACCTCTCTCAGCAATTATAGTACAGATCATGTGCCTGTCCTCTGCAATCTTCCAGCACTGGGTAATTTTATATGAAGGAACTATCTTTTTGAATATGTGTGTAGTGTATAGCAAGTATACTGAAACCTACATTTTACAAAGCCAGGAAATTCAATTCTCATCCTGTCTACCATTCACACTTGTCAAAGCACAGCTCAGACAATTGCTTTGTGTTTGGGTAAGAAGTGGTTAACTGATGAAAAAGGAGTCAGCTTTTGGACTTTTGCCCTGCTTGGTGTCACTTTGTGAATGGTAGCGAGCACAAGAGGGTATCCTGTAGACCATCTTGATTGCTGCCATTAGTGCTATCAACATTCAGGATGCCCTCTACGGTGTAAAACTTGCCATCCTTTTTCCTGCTGGCAACTCAGGCACAATATTTTGCAGCAGTATAGGGCCATTTTGTAGCATTTTGGATTGTTGATATAGAAATACAATATCCCACTTTCACAAAATGGAGTGGGTTTTTAAAAATAATTTAATCTATTAGAATGGACCTTCACAGGCAGTATCCAATGTACTACTATCTTGCACGGAGATTGCACTCTCTGTACTATCTAGAATGCAAAGAGCAGTGCTAATAGAGTATGGTATCTATCACATGAGAAGCTGAGCAAGTAAGTGATGTTCTGGGTGATATTGTTAGAAACTCTAAAGTTACAGCCCCAATAGATGTGAGGATGTAGTTGTCATATACATTTTTCTGTATCCATGTTGTGTTGCCTGTTCAGTGCTAGTAGCTGGGTCGGGGTTGGAGGGGCTATCTCTAAGCAAACATAGGCCTGCCACCCAAAGCTTTGGAGAGGGAAGTATTACAATGGACTGTAGCTTGTTGATAATACACATGAATAATCACAGCTAGGAGCTGTTGTTCTCCTTCATGGATTGCTGCCTTGTCGTGGGGAAGGGGCTTGAGCAATTCAGATAAGCTATGGGCTATGCTGTGCAGGGACACCCAAGATGGACAGGTCATAGTGGAGAGTTCTGACTAAATACGATCCACCTGGAGCAGGAACTGGCAAGCCACTCCAGTATCTTTGCCAAGAAAACCCCAGGAACAGAAACAAAAGGCTAAAAGATATGATGCTGGAAGATGAGCCCCACAGGTTGGAAGGCATGCAGCATGCTACTGAGGAAGAGCAGACAACAAGGACAAGTAGCTCTAGAGCTAATGATGTGGTTGGGCCAAAGCCGAAAGGACGCTCAGCTGTGGATGTGCATGGAAGTGAAAGGAAAGTCCGATGCTGCAAAGAAAAATACTGCATAGGAACCTGGAATGTAAAATCTATGAACCTTGGTAATTGGATGTGGTGAAATAGGAGATGGCAAGAATAAACATTGACATCTTGGGCGTCAGTGAAATAAAATGGACGGAAACGGGGGAATTCAATTCAGACAATTATCATATCTACTATTGTGGGCAAGAATCTCATAGAAGAAATGGAGTAGCCCTCATAGTCAGCAAAAGAGTGGGAAAAGCTGTACTGGGATACAATGTCAAAAATGATAGAAGGATTCAGTGAAATAAAATGGACGGAAACGGGGGAATTCAATTCAGACAATTATCATATCTACTATTGTGGGCAAGAATCTCATAGAAGAAATGGAGTAGCCCTCATAGTCAGCAAAAGAGTGGGAAAAGCTGTACTGGGATACAATGTCAAAAATGATAGAAGGATTTCAATACCAATCCAAGGCAAATCTTTTAACATCACAGTCATCCAAGTTTATGCACCAATCACTGATGCTGAAGAGGCTGAAATTGACCAATTCTATGAAGACTTACAACACCTTCTAGAACTGACACCAAAGAAAGATGTTCTTGTCATCATAGGGGATTGGAATGCTAAAGCAGGGAGTCAAGAGATAAAAGGAACAACAGGTAAATTTGGCCTTGGAGTTCAAAATGAAGCAAGGCAAAGGCTAATAGAATTTTCTCAAGAGAACAAGCTGGTCATCACAAACACTCTTTTCCAACAACACAAGAGGCAACTCTACACATGGACATCGTGAGATGGGCAGTACCGAAATCAGATTGATTATATTCTTTGGAGTCAAAGATGGAGAAGCTTCATACCTTCAGCAAAAAGAAGACCTGGAGCTGATTGTGGCTCTGATCATCAGCTTCTTATAGCAAAACTCAGGCTTAAACTGAAGCAAGTAGGAAAACCCACTGGGCTACTCAGGTATAATCTAAACCAAATCCCTTATGAATACACAGTGAAAGTGAAGAACAGATTTAAGGAACTAGATTTGGTGGACAGAGTGCCTGAAGAACTATGGATGGAGGCCCGTAATATTGTACAGGAGACAGCAACAAAAACCATCCCAAAGAAAAGGAAATGCAAGAAAGCAAAGCAGCTGTCCAAAGAGGCTTTACAAATAGCAGAGAAAGGAAGGGAAACAAAATGCAAGGGAGATAGGGAAAGTTACAGAAAATGGAATGCAGACTTCCAAAGAATAGCAAGGAGAGACAAGAGGGCCTTCT